ACACACACACACACACACACACACACACACACACACACACACACACACACACGCGCGCGCGCGCGCGCGCACACACACTCTGCGACAGACCCACACTCACGTGCGGGTATTTAACACGTACACAGACTTGAGCTCTTTAATCGGAAATGTGACTCCTGTTTGATGAGACTTTTAGTGATATACGATGTTCTCCGTTCTTCTCTCCCTCTTTCTCTCTACCTCTCTTTCGCTCCCATTTTCTCTCTCTCTCTCTCTCTCTCTCTCTCTCTCTCTCCCTCTCTCTCTCTCTCTATCTCTCTCTCTCTCTCTGTCTGTTTCATTTGTAGCACTGTGAGTACAGTAACCTTACTGCAGTTGATAGGAATGAATTTGGAACAATATAGCTCAGTACAAAGAAAGCAGATGGCAAATGAACGGATCAGTCTAATATTGATTAACAAAATGTACACAGATTTTACTAATAAGTGGATCAAATGTTACTAAACATATAACAAGCATAGTAATGAGTTTTTAAATCCGCAATCAAATTTGAGAAAAAAGTTTCGTTTCCATGGATACGGTGGCCATATTGGGTGGTGACAAACATGCTCGGTATGGGAAGAAATAAGACTTTAGGGGGTTCTTATGCGATGAAATAGTTGTACGAGAAAGCTGAAGAAGCTAAAAATGCCTACAACTTAAAATCCACAGTTTTGAGCCGAATCGGGACTTTCGGCGTAAAGCCCTTAAGTTCTGCTAAGTGATACTATTTTAAAATCCAGATAAACTGATGTAAAGAGTTTTTTCCTCAAGCTGAAAAGCATCTATCTCAAGGATTTCAAAACCTTGACCACTACTCTGTTGCAAGAACATTACCTATTTATGAGGGATACTTTCATTTCCTCTATTAAGTACTGCTTGGTCGTTTCTCTATTTTGAGTACAAAAAAAGTATCACATTGTAATACTGGGTTCCCCAGTCTGAGCCCTACCAAAACTCATTTCAGGTGGGTGCAGGTACTCTTTTAGAACTCATATGAAAAGTAATGATACTAAACGTCTTACTCCCCAATCAGCTTAATTTTGGTGATTTAATAGGTGGGATGCTTCGACTCTTGTCTGTCGGGGCCGAGCAGGACTGAAGGCGATGCAAGATCGCAGCAGACAAACCAAGATACTCGAAAAAACAGCCTCTCCACACGTTAATCAAAGTCATGTTTCCTGCGTAAAATACCAACAAGCCGATGACACTCATATGACCTTATGCAGTTGCGAGCGTTGTAAAACCTCTATTAAAACTAAAAACTAACGATTAGCCTAATCCTTACATCACGGGTGACACATGCCCCAAAATGCCATTCGAGGCAGGAAAAGAATAATTTTGGCAAAGCATATTTACCGTCTGCGAATCATCTCCAGGGACGCGAATCCCCCACGAGAGGCGCTTGCTGTCACGGCTGATGGACAGGTCGGGAAGCTGCTGTAGCATTAGTCTCACGTCCGCCTCGTAATGACTGGGATGTATCACTGGGAAGGGCATGGGTACAGAAATAAGATAAGACAAGATAAGTTAGGATAATAGTTTATTGTCCCAGAGAAAAATTTTTCTTGTCTGTACAGGACCATAAAAACACATACAGATAACGTCAATATAAGTTGTTTCTCAGTTATTCATAACATTTATTGTTTGGGCAAGTCGCAGCAAGATTAAATTGTGTTAAGCATTTAATGAGCTGGGGTGACAGATCATAAACTGTTAAAAGCCCCCCCATTGACACAACTTACGTCGTTAAATAAAGAGACAGGCTGTTGTAATTACCAAACAGGGCTAAACCCAGGCTTTTTTAAATTGCGTCTCTTGTGTAAGTATGCTTGCATGCATGTATGCTTGTGTTACTGCATCACCTCCACCCTTGAGCCAATGAAGCAGATCCTGTTGAAAGTGTGACAGTTTGAACATGTAGTTGTTCTCCTCCATCCACGTCACAGGGTGGCCACTCTCCTTAGATATCTGCAGCATTTGGTAGGAAAAGAAAAAAAAACAGACAAAAAAATTCTGAGTTATTTTTCAAGTATTTTTTTTAGTAAGAGTTTTATGGCACTTGCAACACAATAAGGTCATATAAGTGCTGAAGATTAGAGGTGTTACAAGAGAGTAACAAACACAAAAAAGGAGGAAAGATAAGGACAGATAGATGTTTGATAGGAAAGAAGAGGCAAACCACACCAGAGCACTTGCCAACCACCCACTAACACATATTAGACAGCAAGATAGTCAATTGATAGAGCAACAGTCATGGGAGGTTAGTGAGTACTCTCGTGTGCTTTGCTCCTGCTTTCCTACCTACTTTACATCTATCATCCTAATGTCTTCTCCCTCTTTTCTTAAAATGTTACTTTCTAATCTCGGCATTTTTATGACCTTATTGTGTTGTAAGTACTGTAAAACTGCTTGAGTGAATTTTTCATATATGAAACATGCTACAGTTTCATTGAAAAAAAAAAAAGACAAGGGAGTGTGCAACGGCGAGCGTCTGTGTCAGCTGGAGAGAGCATTTTATGAGCATGATAATAATAAAATCATAAAAGTTGGTGTTTTTTCTTTAATGTTAATACAAAAACTAATTCATACCGTCAGTTTTGTTCCATCAGCTCTTGTCTGTTCTTCTACATCTTCCAGTGCTAGGAAAGCTTCATCAGAAACCGAGTACCAGCCAGCATAAGAACCTTGGTATATGAATCCTTGAGAAAATAGTCTGTTCTGTGATTTTGAAAAAAAGGAACATCAGAATTTAGATATTGATCGACTGCTCAGTGTACGACTCTGTCATATGTCCCGCTTCAAAATGGCGTATTGACTGCGGGGTCTTATACTAATCAGTCGATATGGGATACTTCAAAGCTCCTCAAACAAGAATAAATGGTCGGTTTTAAGGACAAGTGGGCTAATCGAGATTTCGGGGGTTTCCAGAAACCTTGACCTACACTTAAAGTGGGCATTGCCCTACCTATAGGAGAAGTTTGGTTTCATTAGTGTGTATATTTGTTTAATTATAGAGAAAGCTCTCCTTGTTTTTTTATGAAACTGAACAAGGGGCAAAAACTTTACCTTTGATTTTCTCAAAACAGCATTTTTCGTGATATCCCACTAGTCCTTAAAAGCGACCAAATAATCCCTGACGGTGCATCTGAGAGCCAAAATGCTATGCCCGTTTTACCCACAGTTGCAAAAGTGGGTAAATAAACCATTCATATAACATTCCATAATGTCTGTAAATCAATTTCAGGCAAATCAGTGACAATGTAATTCCGGATGTGTTCATATCATTGCTTTTCCTGTTCATGCGTCGCCGTAAAAATTCATAATTTTCTCTTGTTGCTATTGATCCACATAATTTTCTCTAAACAAGGAATTTGGACATAGATACCTCTAGCTTTCAGCACACAGAATAACTTTATTTCTTACACAACTAAGACATAAGAAACCAATTATATTACGTTAATCTAATTTTGAAAGGATCTTCACTTTTGAAGATAAATCAGGTTTAAACAATAAAAAGTCTCAATCTGATCAAATGCTACACTGTTTGCAGTAATCGCAATTGCAATCGTAAAATGTTTTACATCCCAAGCAAAAACAATTTAGATCATTTAGGAATAATAAAAATCCTCAGACAACAAAACCACTTACCCAAAATGAGTTTACAGCATCAATGTGACCTTGCTGAGTTGTACGGATGAACTGATCATACTGTATGTCAGCTTCGATGAACAAGCTCTGTTTCCAGAAAAGTGAAACAAACTAAGATTACAAGACACCATCAGTTTGACGGAATATATAAAAAAAAACTATTGGTTATGAAAATAATGAAAAGCTTAAAATGGTAACTTGTATTCTATTTCTATCTCAATCAAAAATAAACAAGTGACATTCATTTAAGAAGCAAACTAACATTTATGTACAAAAGCAAAAAATTAATAAGCAAAGTGTTTTTGACACCATTAAAAAGCTAATTAACATTATCATTGTAACTTAAGAACTCGCTCGAAATAAAATGCAAATAATTGAGTTCATTAAAATCTAAATATAAACAGAAATACAAAACAGGCTGTCAAAAAACACAAGAAAAGTGACAAAATAGGACAAAACGAGCTATCACAGTTTTTCTAATTGAAGAAAAGCTTCTTCAGACCTTGAACTTTGCAGATACTCCATCACAGAAAGTGTCTGCATCAACACCATGATTAGCAGCAGCTTGTTGGATCTGTGAAGCAAAAATATCAAGTCATATTCACGTCATCAATTGAAGCTAACATGGGAAGATGTGAAGCACCCTTTATCTATTTGGTATTGGAATTGCTATTGCTGTCACCAAGGGAACAAAAATGTTGTCAGATAAATAATCACTTTGGTCTGGAGTTGAGTAGTAAAGAGACCCTGAAGGATGGTGTTGATCAGCAAATTCATAAGAGGTCAAATTAGTTCTATCACACAGTGAGGTTGACCAATCATAAAGATCGAAATCAATGCAGCAATAATGTCTGTGTTAAAAACCTGAAGACTTCTATCATGAACTGAATCAAATACTCATTTACCTAACAGTATTGGACTGTTACAGTTAATCTTACTTTTCAAAATTTTATTCTCACCCTCCGTAGATTTGTTACTCCTGTTTATCTATAGACCACTGCTATTTTTTGCCCACATCTGATTCTATCTAATATATAATGTGATATTACAGTCAAAAACATTTCAGGCCAACACCATTCAAGTAAAGACAAAAGAATGGAGGAGGAATCCCAACTTCAATGCAAAACATTTCATCTATTAGAATACTCATTCAGAGTTCACCTTCATTCAATATGGCGGAACGAAAACTACTTCTCTCTTCAAGTAGACCTATCATGTGGGTGGTTAGCGGGTGCTCTGGTGTGGTTTGCTTCTTCTTTCCTATTAAACATTTATCATCCTTATCTCCCCTTCTTCTTTTTTATGTTTGTTACTCTCTTGTAACACCTTCAATCTTCAGGTGCTCATATGACCTTATGCAATTGCGAGCGCAGTAAAACCTCTACTAAAACTAAACTAAGATCTGTCGTGAAAATTCTATTTCGGGAGAATAGCACATAATACAAGCACAACCAAACCTTACTTTCAAGCCATGTTCATCAGTGCCTGTTGCCATCAGGGTAGATCTGCCTTTTACCTTCTGCCATCGTGCCATTGCATCCGCCAGTAGAGCACAGAAGAGGTGACCAACATGTGGAGCTAAGTAAGAAAAAGGAAATATGCTCTCAATAAATGGTCGCTTTAAAGGACAAGCGGGTTAACCCAGATTTCGGGGGTTTCCAGAAATCTTGACCTACACCAAAAGAGGGCATTGCCCAACCTATACGGGAAGTTTGGTTCCATTAGTGTGCATATTTGTTTGGTTATAGAGAAATTTCTCCTCGTTTTTTAAAGAAACTGAACAATGGGCAAAAACTTTACCTTCCATTTTCTCAAAACAGCATTTTTCGGGATAGCCCCCTTGTGCTTAAAAGCGACCAAATATCTGCACTCAAAAATGTTACCATAAACTGTGTACAATATTGCTACGATAAAAAATGTATTAACTTTATCATAATAATATGTGAAGCAAAATTTGGTCATAATGTTGGCTAAGTCGTCATCATTTTCTTAATTAAATGCCTTAATTAGCCATGGTGTTGGTTCAACAATGTTATTAGCAGCTTTGTCATTTAGACACCTGTGAATTCACTCCATTTTCTTAATTTACATAGACCAAAGAATATGTAGTCAACATTTTTAGCATTAAATTAATTGATTGCACAAAAGTCTACACAAAAAGAAAGACAATGAAAACTAAAATACAGTAACATTTTTTTCTAGAAAACAAGCATTAAAGCTTTGGACAGCATTTAAAATAAACACCATTATCTTTAGAAATAACAAAGGGAAGCAAAAACATAAAAATCAACTTAACTCGTTCTAGACTTAAATTTCACAGAGATTAAAAAAATGGTTAGGGAAGCACTTTCAAGCCAATTAAAGCCAAACTCAAGATTGACACTTGTTGGCTGTTTTGGACTCCTGCACAAACAAGGATCTACAACATGTTTGACGCTCAGATAAAATGGTGGCTGCTAGCCTCTAGGTTCTCCAGCATTTGTATCCCTACATTATTACTTCCTACAATCTAGCACATACACAGAGAAATCAGTGGGAGGCAGAAATCTTTTCATTATGTACATCTTTCACAAATACATGTTTTGAATACAAAGAAAATACATGTTCAAGATAAAAATTCAAGACCCGAAAATCCGTTTGCCATGTATGTATTTCACTAATTTCGTGTTCGCTATGTGCTTGTTTCACTGTGTACGTGTTCACTATGGCTGTATCAACTTGCTTTTTCCAAGGCACAATTTAATATAACAATTGCAGAGACATTCAACCACAGTGATGACAAAGCACTAGCTTCTCAATCAGGAGCTGAGAGAAAAACCATGAGAGGGAGGAAGAAAAGAAATTGGATCCCACTCTGATCCAAGCCATGAACTCGCCAACATGCAAGCCAGGTTCACTAAACAACTGCACCCCAGAAATTTATAAAGTGTTCTGTTTTTTAAATCTGACAAAATAAAAATCTATCTTCCCTGAAGCAGTATGTAACATGATGAAAAGCAAAAACTGTAAAATCTCTGCATACTTCAGGCCTATTATCATATGTACAAGCCGCTATTTTAAAAAGACATATATAGAGATGACAGTGACAACATCTCTGTGAATGTTATAATTTAAGATCCTTACCTGCATTCACATAAAAGATTGGAGTGGTGATGAAATATGGAGACCCACAATTTTTCCCAGCTGTCGAAGCACTTTTCCCTGCATCATGGCTAACACATTCTCTGTGAAGGTATCTACAGTTTTGTATGATCAGAGGCACCGATCGGACGCTAAACCTCACATCTTGTATCCTCAAGTTTGCCAAAATATGTCGTGTCTTCAACATATTGGAAGACAAAGTGCTTTTGACAGCTTTGAAGTTGACACTCTGTACCTACATTAAAAGCATAAAGTAAAAGTTAAAAAATCATGTTTCATCTTGTGAGCAGGTAACATAAATGCAAGAGCTTTACTTTTTTCAAACAGATGTCACTATGAGCAACCTTGTATTTTGCAAAAAAAATTTAATAGAGACAGCAATATCAGTTCCTAAAGAAAACAATAACAAGAGTTGATGGGCATGGATAAAAGTAGAAGTTACAGTTTTGTTTTAGTAGAGGTTTTACGGTGCTCGCAACTGTATAAGGTCATATAAAAAGAAGATTAGAGGTGCTACAAAAGAATAACAAAAATAAAAAAGAGGGAGGGGAGATAAGGACGATAGATGTTTGATAGGAAAGAAAAATTTAACCACACCAGAGCACCCGCCAACCACCCACAGAAGAGTGAAGAGCCTGTGATTTGTAATATATTTTTATATCAATTTATATTACATATGCACACATACAAACAATAATCAATAAATCTAAAAACAACATACGAGGTCATAGTATTAACTGTGATGCTCTAACCATGTAAATTTAAAAAATGGGTCAATTCTTTTTATTGTCAAGGTATACCTGCTGTTGGAGAAAACTTAAATTTTAGGTTTTTTCGAGTTAGTTTTTGTTGTGCGATATTATGATCTGAAATGCAGGATCTTAAACTTACTTGACTCTGTATTCCTTCAGAGAGGGATCTTAGTGATGACTTATGAGAAATTATGTTTTTTCAAACAGCAGGATCTTATGTCACCAGGATTTTAAGCAGCAGTAGGCTATCTTAGAAGACAAAGACTATGCTAAGTTACTATAATACACTCAATACATAGTATAAGATGCAGTGGTATAATAATAGGATAGTATAGCATAGTCTTCTTCAGAATTGCTTGGCATGGACAGGAGTATGAGTCGACAGATCAAAAGGTAGTTTGATCAGTTTACAAGTTTTAAAAATGTATAAGTCAGTGCATTTGTAACACGTGAATGTAAATAATATGGAAGGAGTTCCGTTAGGAACACCTAACCCTAACGCTGCCCTTACCCTAACCTTAACCCTAACTTTAACCCTAAATAGACCTAAAGAAACCTAACTGATTGGTTTGCTCAGTGACAGTGGACCTTGTAACGGTAAGTGCAGGGCCTCTGCGGAACTCCTCCCTAATCTACGCCTACGCCCTCATCGAAACAATTTACACCAATGACTGGAATATGAATGCTCCCAAACACTCAAACTATACCACCGAATAGCCAGCATTCATTGATTCATTTACCGTGAGGTGATGCCTTGAAGTTCAAGGCCTGAAGCCGAAGCCCAATGCATGGACTGGAAAGGTCATATTTACACTTTCAAAGTTCAGGATAAGATTTTAAATCGTGAAAAGGGAATGTTCATCTTACAAACCCATGTTCAACAATAGCAAAAAGTGGCTTCTTTCATACAATTTACGGGTTAATTGTTTCACTGGAAACAGCACGCATAGAGGCAAGTAGGAAATAAATTCTTGGTAAATTATTGAATAATTTGTACTTTCGTTTCACTTGGCTAGCAACTTGAAACTTGCAACTCGCAGCAGTCGCAGCAGTCGCAGCTCTCCTCTTTCTTAAATGCAAAGGATTGCAGTTGAATGCAGTCAAAGCAGTAAAAATAAAAACTCGGTATTTCGAAGTATACCAACGACCTTAAACATTATCCAGGTTTACATATCAGGGGAAAAAACTAGTACTTTTGCATAAAGCCGGAATTCGTCTTCGCAAACAAGAGGCAAACTTTGTCTTTGTACTTTCACATTTTAGAAAGGCCATGAATTGATTAAAATCGAAAGCCCTAAAGCAGGAGAAAATTAATTCTTTCTTAATATTTTCCAAATTTCTATATTATATTTCTTTCTCTGCCAAATAAACAATTCTCTCTCCTGAACACATGACAATCAATGACATACATTATGATTTTATACTCTCTCACTCTCTCTCTCTCTCTCTCTCTCTCTCTCTCTCTCTCTCTCTCTCTCTCTCTCTCTTTGTTATGTGCGTGTGTGTGTGTGTGCGTGCACGAGTGCGTGTGTGAGCGCAGCACACACATGTGAGTGTGTGTGTTTCTATTTCCCGGCATATTTTTTTTTGTCCCTTTGCCTTGTTTTTTTTTCTTCTCGAATTGTTTAAAGCTGTAGATAGTATCTTATTTTATTTGAGTTTATACTTTTTGGTTTATACACGTACATACGTCAATTTTTATTGTTTTATAACTGCTTCATTTTTATTTTCCTTTTAAAATGGGAGGAGGGGCTAGATAGGTTGATAGGGGATATTGATGACTTATTATGTAAGATAACTGCCGCACATTACTAACAATTTAACTTGAATTAAAATTCAGTTTGTCCAAGTAAAAACTTTTCTAGATCTAGATCTATATTTAATTTTTTGTGGGTTTTGTTTAGTTTTGTTTTGTGTTATTGGGGGTTTTTTCTAAGTGGAGGGAGTGGAGAAGGGATTTGCATGGTTCGTGTTAATGCGGATCCATGTTTGTGTGCGCAGCTACAGCTAGAATTTAAGAACGTGTTAAATCATCGGCTTAACCCATCATCAAAAGACTCCCCGTGAACAGAGGAAACAACTAAATTGGTATCATTAGTTGGTTCCACGGTGTGGTTCGTTTTTATCAAGCAATATTCTGTCAGTGTTTACATCATGTATTAGGCTGCTGATTTGGAGGCACATCTTTCCCGTCTCCAATGCACAGTTAAGTTGGATTATCAGGGGACAGACTCTGAAATCACCTCCAATTAGCCGGGTACAGATTAGTCTGTTTAACTACTAGATCTTTATATACTATAATTATAATTATATTAATATGTCAGCTAGAGCATCCTTCCTGCCCACCACCAGCGAGTGCGAGTTTAATCTGTCAAATTGCCTGTTTTGGCACCATTTTAGGATTTACCAATCCACTGAGGTCATGAATCTACCTATGTCTATGGCCTATGGCGGCGTGTGTTGTCAAGACCAGCTGCTTTCCGGGTCTTCATCTTCAGAAAAAGAATGTAATTCATTTTTTGTGTTGTGCCATGGCATCGGCGTCTGGAACCGCTGGTCACTGGAGCAAAGGCCTTTTGGCGTCCATGAATGATCCTGAAGCTGTCATTGATGCTGATGAAGATTTAGTAACGATCAAAGATAAATATCCGAAGGTTTGTGTGTCTTGTTGTCTTGTTGTGCAATTAAAAGGGCAACATTTACTGTATGCTAGATCTAGATTGATAAATCTAGATATATCTCTAGGTCTAGGTCTAGAGTCTACACCATTTACTATTAAAACGTGAAAAGACCCAGGGCCAAAAGAGTATAGATTATTATTTTATGTGTGATATTCTTGATTTCGGAAGGACTTCCGTAACGAGCGACCACCCCAACAAACAAAAAATACATTAAAGAAGAGATTTAGATCTATCGCTACCCTTACCCCTACTCGAAACCCTATTCCTATACCAACCCCTACCCCTTCCCCACACCTTAACCCTACCCCAATCCCTAAGACTTTATTAACTACTCTGTTTCTTAATGGTCGCTCGTTACGGAAATCCTCCCCTTATATTTCATTCTTAAATTTATACATTTAAATCTTTTTAGATAGAAGGTTACCATTGGCATCTTGCATCAGAAGGTTTGGAGGCAGAGCAATAACATTGGCCAATTTCAAATTCATTCTCTGTATCAAACAATGAGATATGTTCGGTTGATCACGTTTGTTTGTTTTTTGTTCTGATGTCTTGATAACACCTATGGGTCTTACTGTTTTTCAAGGAACAAGCTGGGACTCCTGACACTGTCATCATGTAATTTAATGTATATTTAAATACTAAAATAGACTTTGACTCTGAATATTTAATTTGTCTATGTCTAGTGCCATTGCAAATGTTATAATATACCGTGGAGTCCACTTATAATGAGTCCTGAAATAACGAGAAGTCTGTTATAAAGACATTATAATTCTAAAACCCCGTTTTTCCCCTTTCTTTATCTTTGTAAATAAAATATTGCCATAGCGCAATCAGATAAACGCGCGAGTCGGTTATAGCGGAATATTTCTGCTGCTGTGCACAGTGTATATAGGCCATTTATACCCTCGCCAGTTGAGACACTTGTTGGTGATCTAGCAAAACAAAGAATAGGAAAACCCTTGTGTGCCAACAATAAAGGCCGAAGCGAATGAGTGGGGAGGGTGTGGCATGCGCAGACAAGCCGTTATGAAGCAGAACGCATTGCCTGATAGTGATAGGCCAGCCTAGTCTAGATTATCTAGGCCTATATCATGCCTCTCACTTCTCCGATGCGGGGATGGAGAGGATTATGGAGCGAATGTGTGACATGCGCAAGTAGACGCGGGAACGCACCACAGGGTGTGGTGGGGTGGGGAAAACACAGCGGGCGGGTTAGCCTAGAGAACTTTCGTTCTGATAGCCAACGCCGAACTGTCAACATCGCTAACGCTAGAGAAAGAAACCTGATTCAGTTTTTGATCAAGTAAGACCTACAGGTAGAACAAAATCATCACCCGAGGAGATAACAAAAAGAAATAAACAGAACACCAAACTTCTAGATTAGGCCAACTTTATTATTTCCTTTAAATTTATTACTGGATCCCTTACAACGAAAATCCTGCTATAACGGACATTTCGTACCGGTCCCCTCCCTCTCGTTATAACAGGATTCCACTGTATATATATCTGAAAAATGTCAATCATAGTGGACTTATTTAATTAGCCAATCAACCTTTCAGGAAACTGCGACAAATAGGCCTACTGAAATACTTTTGACGTTATAATTCCAGGAATGCCAATACAAATATTATTGTAAAAGGACTAGGCAGTTCTTTTTTTCTGCTTGCTTCCTGTTTCTTTCATTGTATTGTGCCAGCCTACATATATATTGGCTTATTATGTTAATTCTTTCACCAAGTTATTAGAAGAAGTTATTTTTTTAAAGCTCTCTCCCACTCTATAGTTGCAATCATTGTTATTATACTCTTGTTTATTAAACCAGCGTGGTAGTCTACTCGTGTCATTTTGCTTTTGCAGAATAATACTTTAAAATTGTGTTCTCTTTCTCAGGCAAAATTTCACTTTCTCATTCTCCCAAGAAGGAAAATACCAAACTTGAAGAGTCTGACAAGAGAAGACCTTGATCTACTCGAAAAAATGCACCAAAAGGGAGAGAAGATAGCTAACCGGTAACAGCCAAACTATTCATGGTGTATTATTATGTCGGTGCTGGTTTAGTTGACGGTCTGGCCACGATGTTTCTGATCTACTTGATGGTTTACTACTGATAACTGGTCTGGTTAACTGTCTATCAAAATGAAACATTTAATTATATCTAAATACTAAATACATCCGGCACATAATACCATCACCTCTGATTCATTCTCCCATCATTGATCTAAATGCATTCAGCGCCTGGCCATCGACATCTAGTCACTTGCTGTCTCGTTTAACTTGTCAATAAAAGTTCTTTGATCTCAGTGTTTAGAGATTGGCCTTAGAAACAGTAAAGTAGCTTCAAGCTATCATCTAAAATTAATATACAGGGTGATCCAAAAAAAAATTTACAACTTGTTTTGTAAATATCTTCCTCCATACTGAAGTTTTGCGTTTCAGATTTGAACATAACATTTGAAAGCCAAAAGGAATTTGTCTGATACGTATTTAAGATAAGTCCATTGAATGGTTTTGCTCTATATAGCGCAATAAAAAAACAACCCATTTTCAACCTTGTCGCCATTTTCATAGCTTGACGCACCAGTTCGCATTAGGCCTACCACTAAAAGTTGCAACAATAGTGCCATATTGCAAGCTACAGCAGTCTAACAAGTCAACAGAAGTCTGCAGATATTATTTTTCCAAATTTTGTTTGCCTGTTGAGATCCTGGCTACCTTTAGTAAAGAGCAGAGAGCTTTTTGTATTGAACATTACCTCTCCACAAACTCACCATCCCTGACATTTCGTAAGTTCTGCGCATGGCATGGAGAGAATGCTTAGGTGCCCTCAAGACCTTTGGCGTCATGAGTAGAGAAGTTCCGTCAGTTTGGATCTATAGTAAATCAGAACTAAAAAGTTCTTTAAAAAATGACAACGTCAGGTCAAACACACTCCATGCGCAGCCCTTTAAACGTCACCAGAGTGCAGATTTCAGAAGCCGAGTCCTACGACTTTTCACGACTTCCTTTACAAGTTTTTTAAACATTGGTGAACTTTGCGTTTTTGGGTGCTTTTTTCTTTTAGCCTTTTCATTTTTCAAAATATATTTCTTCTTCTTGGATTTTATGCCAAACAAATTCCTTTTGAATGAATTATGTCTGTTCCGAATTACAGCATTCTAGAACAATTTTTGCGCGAGATATTCAGAAAAAAAGTTGTAAAGTTTTTTTTGGATCACCCTGTTACGCCTGTAGTTCCATGTGGGATTTTGTATACTTCATAATCATGTGTTGTAGTAGATGCAGTCGACTCCGTTCATGTTGAACTCACTTGAGTTGATCTTATGTTAAATTGATCTTTTTGTCAGGTCTCAGCACCTCTTCTTTTTTACATTTCCCAACGGTGAAGTTGTACTTCGGATGAGTTGATCTCTATATTTCACGCCCCTGACAACATCAACCCATCCGTTGTCAACTGTAAATGATCATAATGTCTCTATCTATTTTTCAAATAAGATGTAGTCTTATCTCATCTGAGAAGTTAATCTAGTGTGGGTTGATCAGAGATATGTCACTTTGCACAGCTGCTCCATAATTTTTGTTTGTTAATTTTAATATTTTTGTTCAATTTATTTTTTTCAGGGCAAATGAAGAACTGCAGTTCAGGTTTGGATACCATGCTGTACCGAGTATGAGGTACATTGTCTGTACTGTCTTTGTCTGGAGTCTGAGTGTCATACTATACTGGCTTACTTGCTGCGTCATTTCCCATTAGAAGTGCTATTTGACTTCTCCTTTGTGGGTGGTTGGCGGGTGCTCTGGTGTGGTTTGCTTCTTCTTTCCTATGAAACATCTCTCGTCCTTATCGCCCCTTCTTCTTTTTTAAGTTTGTTACTCTCTTGTAACACCTCTAATTTTCTGGCGCTCATATGACCTAATGCAGTTGCGAGCGCCGTTAAACCTCTACTAAAACTAAAAACTGACTTCTTCTTTGTCTTAGATGTTGACGAGTTTGGATATATACATGAGGGGCTGAGATGCAAAACCCGCTGGATCTACATCCATTTTAGAACTTTTAAGAAAATCAGCTTTTATTAATGCTGCTATATGCACGAACATGCGTAAAAAGAAGGTTTTTTTGTGTGTCTTTTATGAAGTATGTGTTAGCTTTTGGCAGAAAACGCTTTGTGCATCTGATAGCTGGTAACAATGTTCATTTATAAACGAAAAATCTCGATTTTTTTCCAAAATGTCGTTTAGCGGTTTTTGCATCTCACCCCCTCATATATGTTGTGTCAAAACGACAGTTTACTTGATCCTTGGCCTAAGAGTAGGCTAATGTGTAACACCAAAAAGAGCAATGATTCAGCTTTCACTCAATTCGCTATGACTACGAGATTGATCTATTGAGAAAAAAGCCTCTCTTGGTAAATGTGAACAGCGCTGGAGAACGAATCAAATAGGCCTATTTTATAATGGGACTATAGAGTGGATATGCAAAAGCCACTTTTCTGCTTCTAATGTTTGGTGTCAAGCTGTTAATGAAAAATCACAGTTTAAGGCATGCTGATCTGCCACAAAAAGTAAATAAGCCCTTACAAGTAAGGTAAAGCAACTTTGATGAATCTCATATGACTGAACGGGAGATGGCTCCGCGTAATGTTTTTTGCACAAATTCTGATCTGAGACACCCATGCAGCTCGCTATACTTTATATGTAACATGATTTGTTTGACTGTTGTTGTCTTTATTGCCTTAAACTTATAGCATTTATATAACATTTACCTTTTGCAGTCACCTTCACATGCATGTCATCAGTCAAGATTTCAACAGCCCCTGCTTGAAAACAAAGAAGCATTGGAACTCCTTTGTTACAGATTATTTTGTCGACTCAAAAGGTAGGTCAAATCAAATGACGTATTGAACATTTCGTGTCTGACTTTGTGATCAAATGTATTTTTACATCAACACCATTCCTTGCCTCATTTCAAACGCAATCTTATTTTATAATTATGCAAGATCCATGCCAATATAACATGGTATTTTCAGCAAAATTTACTACATATATATCTATATCCTGCTCTGGATGTCGGTGGTCTAGCAGTTAGGCTTTTCTCCATCTTTTACAGCTGATGTAAGTTCAATTCTCATGTGGGGAGGTTTTATGGAGGGGGGGGGGGGGGGAGAGGAGCTATGCTTGTCATTGGTTAAAAGACTACAAGGTTCTTGCTCCAGCTGCTACACTTTTCTTTTCTTTAGGTGTAAGGTTTGCTTTCAAGAATGATAGAGTGGAATTTGTTACAAGTTAGAGGCAGAGCATCATTCTGCCCCCCCCCCCCCCCACCCCTCCACAGAGTTCCTTGTACTGTGCGTGGAGGGTTCCCGTGCTCAGAGCTCCTCTCTGGGAGGTTACTAGATGTAGATGTGACACATGAAATTGAATGTAAAAAATGAATGAAATAAAGGTTTCAATTTAGTTCTGCATTGTCAAACATGTTCCTTGCGTTCCTCCTGCTAGATCTCAGGGGGGTTGTTGACTGCTGGCTCTTCAACTGATTTTCCCGTCTATGACCTGGGAAGAGTGTCCGATATACGTTGTTATCAAAGTTTCAACTAGATGACAAACTGCTATCATTTTACTGTTCTTGATCTTAAATTCTAAATTTTTCAACAGCTGTAATAAAGAGTATACAGAAGCATGGCCAGTGGAACGTGAATAAAGAAGAAATGGATCAACTGCTGAAACAAGACTTAAAGTAAGCATTTTATGATTTCAAACTAAAGCACAAGAGATTTGGTTTTTCTTTTAAATATATACATATATTTTTATAATATTTAGTTATAAATGGATAAAAATTAGGAAATTGACGCTGCAACTCCTAACAAATGTTTTGCTTTTTATGTGTACAGTCAGACACATAGAAATAATATAACATGAACTCAGCAAACTCAAAATCACTGATAGCTCATACAGTTTGCCATTCCCTAGCTGATCTCTTTGATATTTGGTTACGCTATATTGCTTAACCCAAAGTATGGATGTGTCAGACACATTTGTCGATCTTCGATGTGTTTGAGTTATCTTTGTTCAAGTCAACTGTTATTCCATCTTGTCTAGAATTATGTCTTACTTTGTGATGAAGCCAGATCTTTTTGACTGGAGGGACATGAACAAGTTTGTATTCCCTTCATAGAACATATATGTGTATGTATTCCAGTAATCTACAGTGTGAATGTTACATTTTGTGGAAAAAAAGCAAAAAAAAGTGTTTTTTTAACATAGTGTGGGTTACAGGTTTGGTGTACTCAGGCAACGATATATGCTTGCTCAAAGTGAAATTGTGCATTCATTATAATCGAGGAACCTAGGACCTTGCATGTTTTCATGTATAGGCTAAGGTGTCTCACTGATAATGGCTAAACAGATGATTGTGTTTTCATCTGCTTCATTTGATCAGTTCGTTGTGTGCACGGTATTATTACTCTCTGGATTGAAACTAGTGACCTTCAGTATTGTTTCATGTTGTCCCATTCCCCCTGGGACAATAAAATATTATCTAATCTTTTCTTATCTTATCTCATCTTACTCCGTCGTCCACATATTTTCCTAAATTTTTTGGCCTCATTACTGACATGCTTATATTCTGAGTCAATTCATCTTCCAGAATGTTGTTCTTTCTCTCTTCACTTTCTTTTGGTGTATGCTTATTTATGCTTTCTCTTCATCTGGTAACAAAGAATTAAGGTAAGAACAAATAACACATACACATTTAACTTAACTTCATTAGTTTCAGGACTGTAGGTTTTCTTTATTTTTTTTTACCTGCCATTTTGTGTGTGCACTTGTCTAGAGTTCAATGGCAACACGACCGTTGGACTCTTTAACTTAAGTTATTATATATATTTTGGGTAAGTTTTCTTTGTTTGTTTTGTTTTTAACCTGAGAAGATCAGGAGTGACTCTTGCTATGCCAGCTGGGAATAGAACCAGTCATCTTTGCAGCTTTTGATTTTTACATTTTCCTTAATTTTTACTTGTACGGTACATGAGCAAAGTCCTGATCAAAGGGTGTAGAGGTGGTGGCAAGCGTCATATTTTGTGCTTTTCAGTTGATATGGCGTATGGTCTGATGTTATTTTCAATGTACGCTTTTTACAGGTGCCATATATGCAAGAAAATGTTTCGGACAATACCAGAGCTCAAGGCACACATTGTCTTTCATGATGTTACTAAGCCAAAGACGAGATGACAGTGTCCCTGCGGTCAGCCCTGTGTCCCTGTGTGTGTGAAGAAACTTTTCGTTGTGATCATTTGCAAGCTTAATAAAATGTTATCTTTACAAGTGATTGTTTTATTCTTACTCTTGTATGATTTTTCTATATATATTTTTGTTGTTGTTGCCGTTGTTGTTTTGTTTTGTTTTTGTTTATTGATCGTTTGCTTGTTTTTTTTTACTTACTGCACATTCCTCAACTAAACATTCACAGTCTAGTAAAAATAAGTGTATGGGCTAAACGCTCCTGTCAGCACCATTAGTATAAGGTTATGTAAGAGGTAGGACCTCGACAGAATTAAAAGTCCATCTCCGATAGGACTGAGCCAAACGGGTTGAGAGCCTTGAACATGCAACAAAACTTATGTTTCTTTTTTTTATCTGTAATAATGTACCTCATACTCATACTCAATCCCCCTATCCTGGTCTCCCGATTGGGTCTTATCATTGAACCTTATAATTCGCTTTTATTACATGATATACTTTTATGTTCTTACTAATGATGACTTTTTTCTGGTGAGTATTGAGTATGCGCCGCCCTTTCTAGTTAAAGGCATCATGTAATTTTCTGAATAATCATAAATGGAGTATGAGCATGTTGCATACTAATAATATTATGTAGATAATAAACATAATAAAATCTTGTAGTGTGAGGACCGCAAAATGCAGCGTTCGTGCAGTTGATGCAAGGGTCGCTTTTAAACACAAGAGGGCTATCCCGAAAAATGCTGTTTTGAGAAAATCGAAGGTGAAGTTTTTGCCCCTTGTTCAGTTTCTTTAAAAAACAAGAAGAGTTTTCTCTGTTATAACCAAACAAGTATACACACCAATGGAACCAAACTTCCCAGGTAGGGCAATGCACACTTTTGGTGTAGGTCAAGATTTCTGGAAACCCCCAAAATCTGGGTTAGCCCGATTGTCATTAAAGCGACCTACTAAAGCCCCAGGATTCACCGGACTCCGAAGGATGCCTTAGTTTTAGTAAGAGTTTTACAGCACTTGAAACACAATAAGTCATAAGTGCCGAAGAATAGATGTGTTACAAGAGAGTAGTGTTCACAAAAATGGAGGAGAACAGATAAGGACAATGGATGTTTGATAGGAAAGAAGGAGCAAACCGCGCTGAAGCACCCGTCAACCACCCACAAAAGAGCCAAAGAGGTTGTAATAATATATATATATATATATACATGTATTATACAGTGCATATTGTAAGTCACGGTACTATTATTGCATGCATAACCTCTTAAGTAGGAGCTTCTTGCCCCAGTGGCACAGGGGCCTGAAGGAAAAGCGTGGGGGGGGGGGGGCTTCCGAGGTGTGGATGGACAGACGAGTGTACCAGACTGGTTGTTTCAATGTCGCTCATCAAATAGTGTGTGTGGATCCAAATTTTACTTTCCAAATCCCAAACAATGTCTAGGTCTATCTCATCAATTCCCATACCACCAGTGATACCAGTTAAGCAAGCATGTATCCAAAAATAACTCAATTACTAATTACTGACACATAAAGGAAAATAAAGCGTAGGCCTAGTAGAGTGTAGAGAGACTGCAGAAAAACCAAAAACATGCAGATATAATTATATATTCAACAACAAAAGAAACGCAAGTGAATACAAAGTACAGGAAGATAACGACATTGGTAAGTAATAAATAGGTGATTATCATATATTTTTTGGTCACATTTATTGAAGAGGATCCTTCTGTGAGGAATAAAAGTCCCGTGTGAGAGAAAAAAAAAAACAAGTTGAATTTGCTGTGAAAAATTATGTACTGGAGTTAAAGGGTATGTCCATAAGTCAGTGATGTCAACTTTGAATCAATAGCGTGTGTTTCCCGCCATTAGCGTTCACAACAGCTAAGTGGCATCTGTTTGACTTTGACCTCACAAGTCTGTGAATGATGGCCATGTTCACATTTGCACTAATTTGTGTGATTGTTTGCTGCAGCTGAGGTGCTTTTGTTGGTCTTGGAAGAAAACGATTCAGTTCTCTTTGGATGTGGTCCGAGTAGTGTTCGGTCAGTTTGAGGTCTGGGCTTATTGAGGGGCATGGCGGCAGCACCCTGGCATTGTTCTGCTGTAAGAAAGCTGCTGTAGCTCTTGCAGTGTGGGGTCGAGCATTGTCCTGCTGCAGGATAAAGTTCGGGTGTTGCTGGAAATGAGGTATGATCGCAGTCGCCAGTGCCTGTTGGGTGTAGCGCTGTACAATAACACCGTTACCTTGACCAGGTCCAGTGTTCTGGAATACAACGGGTCCCAAGTGTTGGTTTACCCTGATTGCACCCCAGATCATTATGCTGGGACCACCACATGCATCGGCCTGCAGGACGTTGTTGTCCGCAAACGGTAGGTCGGATCTTCTCCATATCCGGATTCTTACATCTCGCTCGACTGACGCAAAAACGGCTTTCGTCAATGAATAGGACATTTCTCCAATGTGAGTTTAATGAGGGAAGACTGCAGAGCCGCACGATACAGTGCATCATCATCATCATCATCATCATCATCATCACCATCATCATCATCATCATCAGAGTAAAGAGCAAAGGTGATTATCCTGTAAAGGCACGTGAAGCTGCAGAGGATGTGATCAAGGAGGTTGGTGCCGATGTGACAATTTTCACAGATGGATCGGCTGTCGCAGGATACCGTAAAGGTGGAGCAGCAGCAGTGGTGATAATGAATGATGAACCACCACGAACAGAAATCATTAAAACTAAAGGTGCATTCCTCACATCAACTTATGACGAGGAATGTAAGGCAATGACGGCTGCTGCACAAACTAGCATCTACGTGCGCGATTTTTGCTTTTTTTTTCAAAAAGAAAAGACTACTTCAAAACATAGACGTGTATTTTGATAATCTTAAGGTGTCCGTGTATAATTATTTTAACGCAAAGAATATAATAAGTACATTACATACTATTTATTATATTGCTGTTTGTCTTTTATTTTTCCCTCTTTGTTGGTGTGTTAATTTTTGGGGGGTTATTTTTCTGATCTATTTGTGGGTGTGTGTGTGTGTGTGTGTGTGTGTGTGTGTGTGTGTGTGTGTGTGTGTGTGTGTGTGTGTGTGTGTGTGTGTGTGTGTGTGTGTGTGTGTTTATACAGCGTAATGTCATTTAATTTGATGTTCCTGCATAAAAAAACAACAAACATAAATGTGTTATGTATTGTTAGAGCGTGTCTCCACCAAAACCGAATACTGACACTGGCAGGCCCCTTGTGTATTATTCCATAATTTACATCCTGTACTTTTTCTTGAATTAAACACGTTTAGGTTTATTACGGCCAATCTTCGGATAGGTGGACACACGCCCTTGTTTGTTACTTTCTGCGGTTGTTTGTTTGCTGTTTTAATTTTTATTTATTCTGTTACGAAATCTTTATTTTTCACGTTTTTACACTTATGTGGCTACAAATAATATTCTGGATGCTTAAAACAGAGCACAAGAAATTCTGGTGCTTTAGATTAAGTTACCTCTATCAATATTACGTCGTCACAGCTAGATCTAGTTGAAAGCTTGAAAATTGTTGGCAACTTTTTGGGCAACTTTTGGCATTTTTGTGACAACTTAATTATGGCAACTTTTGGACAAGAAAATGGCGACAAACGCAGATGCTAGTACAATGGATTGCTGACAATTGCCACAGTAGAACCAATGTGCTGATCTTGACTGACAGTCAGTCCCTCTGCAAGGGACTGCTAGGCAACAGCTCAGACATAAATGATTTGCGCTGCAAGTTCAGTGAAACCACAGCCACAATAAAGATTCAGTGGATTCCAAGCCATTTTTGGAATCGAGGGAAATGAGGTAGCTGACCAAGCTGCCAAATAAGCCAGAGAGATTGAAGGAGACAGACGACCAATAACATACAGGGGAGTCTTTCCAATTACCAAGAAGGAAATCAGAGACCCACAAAGCAGAGTTAAGTACCAACGCCTGGAGGATGTGTATTCTGGGTACTCCGATTATAAGCAGGAACAAAATATATCACATGTCGCTGGGACCAGGATGAGCTAGTGAGACTGCCGTCGGACCATCATTGGAGCTTGAGATGGTATCAGAACTTTGTGAATGAAGAGCTCAACTCACGTTGCCGAAGATGCAGTCATGAAAAGGAGGGTGTCAAACATAATATTATTATTATTATGTTCGAATGTCCAGGAACAATGGCAATTCGAATGTAGTTATTTGGACGAGTGGAGCTGCCTCTGAGTATAATGACAATGGAGCCGAAAAAGAGCCTTGCTCTCGCTAGATGGTTTCTTCGTGGAGTCCAGCAGGCCCATTAAGGAAACGAAAAAAAAAATCATCATCTGGCTTGAAGTTCGACAGACATCGACGATCATGGTTCTCCATTCATTCCTTTGCTCGCGATGCTCTTTAAAAAAGCCATATATATATATATATATATATATATATATATATATATATATATATATATATATATATATATATATATATATATATATATATATATATATATATATAGTGGAAACCTGATAAAACAGGGATGGTGGGACCAGAGAAAAAGTCCTGTTACATCAGATCCATGTTAATAAAAAACGCAAGGGAAGTAAGCAATTATGGACTAATTTATCTGTATTTATTCATGGGTAGTTTCCCTTGCCACAATTACCTATAAACGGGTTTTTACGCATGCGTGTACTTGCAGTGGCGTCAGCGAACCTTTGTCACTGCTATAACCGAATGAGCTCAGATGAGGCCCTGTTATTGCCGATTACTTTTAATAGAGACAAAGCGTAGGAAAAAAACAGGAATTTAAAACACACCCCGTTATTACGGTATCCCTGTTATTACCGGGTCTGTATTACATATATGGTTTCCACTGTAGTATATTAGATCTATACATGTATATCCCTGATCTTTCTCTGTCTCCCATCTGTTAAGGTTCTCCAAGGTTGCTTTGGGTCTACCCTGCCTCGTTTGCCTTCAATTTTGCCAGTGAGCGTGAGATGTCCAAGGCCTTTATATCTGTTTAGGCGTCCAAAAAATTGCTTTTAATTGTCTTTTCCTGATTGTTTTTGTCAGCCAGCTGTCCACGTAGGCTTCTTCGAGTACCGGTACTTCCTCTTTTGATTTCTTTTCCTTCCAATATATTCCCACGAGTATCATAAGAAACCACATTTCTGTTGCTTCTATTCTATTTTCGCTAATAAGAAATTGTTCAGTATTCACAGCCATGAGTTGACCATAGATCTAATAGCATTTCGCAGCACTTTCATTTTGGTACCGGTAGGCTAGTCATTGAGATTTTCTACTTTTCAGGATTGTGCCCATTTTACTGAAACTAAAAATATATCCTCCATTTCACTGCAATTCTTCGTTTTATTTCCGTGGAACATTTGGCATCAGATGTCATTACATTGTATAATTATATACTATGTCATGTACATATTTAAACTGTTGAACCCGTGTGATTCGTATATAATAGCCTTTGTTAATGAGATAAGGCCTACCACTTTTTTTATACCATGCATTCTGTTTCTTCACATTGATCACCACGTTCTCTTGCCGCTACAACTGTACGATTGAAGGTCTTTTTCTGAGTCTGCTACTGCTACAATCTATTAAAACTGTAGCCTACCATCGGCACAGTACATGATAAATTAATGTAATAAATATTATAGGCCCCAGTCTTCATTCGTGCAGTCAGGGCATGATGACTCCTCCTGGATCAACAGCCGTCCCTAAAGACTGAGGATGCCTTGGACAGTGAAGGGGTAGATTTTATATTATGCCCCCCCCCCCCTTCCTTCCCACAAAAAAGTCTGGAGGAGCACGTTATTGAGGAATTGGGGTGGGTAGCAGGAGGATTGGCAGGAAAAAGAACGGAATGGACGGACATTGAGTTCAGCAACAAGTGTGTCGAAGTTTGCATTTCAACACGTAGGCCTACATGTACTTTGTATAGGTGTGATGGTATTTCAAGTCGAACCCAGAAAGTCAATTGCCACCAGATTGGAATCTGAAGCGTTCGAGTTAGATCTATAAATTTGGAACACTTTTATTCACTGACTTTGTCCCAAGTGTTGAAGTTGGCCCAGCAGGAGTAGAAGTTAGGGGAGCAATTTATGCTTTCGCATTCCTGGATATCATATCGATGAAAAGCAAGTTTGGTAGGCCAAAACTATTAGAATCTCTTTTACGTTCCCCATCCCCCCAAAACCCACCAAGTATCTACACCCCAGACAATCGACTTGTAACTTTTCAAAGACGTTTCGAAAGTTGAATGAAATTCCTTTGTTGTTACACGGGAGGGCGAAGAAAATATCACCTTTAACCTTCAGTTTTCAATCAATCCGCATGCGCAGGTTCGACACATGTGACCTATACAACCAATGAAGTACTGGCAATGGCTGACGCCGCCAAGCTCGTAATGGTTTAGACTCTGGGAATAGAGGTGTTATCAGTTATTGTTTTCCCGTTGAGTTGATATTTTATTCCGAACTAATGTAGAATGTGTAAAGGATGGATGCTGTTACCTCGGCCAAGTATTGATTATATTAATGTGTCTTGAAACTATCGTTTGAAAGGTTTTATTTGTGGGGAAATCCAGCCGGACGCCATTTTTTGATGCATTTTCTAAGCCTTGGCTTCTTTGATCGCCCTTCGGAAGAGGACCACGCACTGTTCGAGGATTCAAATTTGAATCATTCAGTTTTTCAATCTGGATACTTGAGAGTGAAGATTCGTGGATATTTTACTCCGGCCCATGGCAAACAGTAATACGACTCTCGCCAGTCTTTGGGTAGATGATGGTGAGTAAACGAAGAAAGGCAAGAAAAAGGAAGAGATCGGGGTTCAAATCTGAAGATATCACCATAAAGCCCAAAATATCAATAAAAGCCAAGAAAAATTTTTAAAGATCTGAAGCCAATCAGTAACCAGGGCTAATAGATCTCTATAAGTCTAATTGATGATCAAAATCTAAATCTAGATTCTTGATCTGAGCTACTGAAACCCTGAACTGCATTTATTTGGACCCTGCTCTTGACTACGATCCCAAATATATATGTCTTCTTACTCTTGCAATATTGACAAGATCTAATTGACTGACATCTGGCCTAGTCTAGATCTACACCTTGTCTTTAGTTTTAAATAGAAGATCTTGACCTTGTATGGTAAATGTTTACTTTCACTCCCGCACACATGCACTGCTTCGGGGGGTCGAACTGCAGTCGAGTACTCAGTACTGTTTGCAGCAGATCAGACATAAAGTAAGCCACTAAAACTGAGGTTAAAACTGTCGCAAACTTATTATTTTCAAGAAAATTTATGGTATTTTTTTACTTTCCCTCCCGTCTCACACTCAGCTACCAGTTGTCTATTTTCTACTAAATATTGATGCGCTGAACACGAATATCAACTTCATTTCCGTCGCAAATTCGGAAAGTGTAAAAAACAATCTAAAAACATCAGTATCTAAAAAAGTATTGATTTGCGACGGAAATGAAGTTGATATTCGTGTTCAGCATATCAATATTAATTTTAAAATGTATAACGGGTAGCTAAGTGTGAGACGGGAGTGAAAGTAAAAAAATACCGACAATTTCAAATCTAACTGTAAAATATCAAATTATGGGTGTAAAAATAGGGGGGCATGCCCCCCTGTAACCCCCCAGATTTTCTTTTA